TGCAGACCTCAAACAAACAGAAAGGAAAGTACCTTTAAAGGACATTAAGCTAACACAGGAAAGTGTCACGAACGGAAGCGCTTGAAAAATTTACGAACAGTGGCACAATCTAAAGTATTCTGAGGAGGGAACAACAAACCTTTAAGCTCATAATGTCTTTAGTATCTCCAGGCTGGGAACTAACTGTTGTATGCTTTAGCTTACCTTTCTCTGTAAATGAACATGTTAAAATCGATCATGAAAAACTGAAAATCCGGCAAAGAAACAAATACTTGATGAGGTAGGATTCACCTGCAGCACTAATCCTCCCGATTTGATGAAGGGAATTGGCGAGAGCAGACTTTCCGATGTTAGGAATCCCAAGAAGCATCATAGTAGTGGTATGACCCGAATAACCAGCTTTGTGCAATTCCCTAACTTGACTCTGCAAGAAGTTGAGAAACTGAAAAAAGAAAAAGTCTTCTTTTAAGTTTCTTTAGCCATAACGAAAAAGAACCGAAAGAAGAAAATCCAGAGAATAAGCGGATAAAAAATGTTACTTGCTTGACACACTCTTTGTTATGTGAATTTACTGCATAAGAAAGATATTTTCTTTCCTCAAAGTAATCTATACACTTCTTCAACTCCAAAGGCTCCGCGAGTTCCATTTTGTTCAACACGATGATCCGTTGTGACGGAAAAGGAGAAAACTTTCGCAACAACTCATAATCAGAAGATAATGGAATCTACACACACAAAAGAGAAGGAACAAATAAAAAAACTCTTCATTCATTGAGGCAATTAATCGAACACCTGGAAGACACAGTGCTGGAGAAAAAGAAAACGAACACGAGCGTCTCTGATCTCAAGTACGAAATCTACTAGCGGAATACGTTCGGATATTGCTCGAACTGCTGCAGCCATGTGAGGTCCGTACCATCTCCGGTTAGGGTTTCTCGACGCCTTGATCACGGCGTCTCCGATTTCCCTCGCTATCTTCCAGCTTTTAGCCGTTGCCATTTTTCAACATAAACATCTGCGCGTTGGAGCCTAAATAAAGCCCATTTAGCTCAATTGGGCCCTTAAATGCTTCAAACATAAAGCCTATATCCCATCGTGAATTATATAAATTGTTGTATAAAATAAAATAAGAATTGTCACTAAAATAGTATAAATAAATATAATCTAATAAAAAAGTATTGAAAAAGTAAAATTGGTAAAATTTACTGTGTTTTAGCATGGAGAAAAATTATATGAACTATTAATTTTTGAAGAAAAATTATATGACCACAATATTATATTTTAAGAAAAATTAAAAACAATATTTATACGGAACCACATATGTGTCGATTTTTTTGAAAAAAGTACAAAATCAAAATTGTACCGTTTTGTTAATGTTTTCATTTTTTTTTGTTACCTAAATTATGCAGTTTTGTGTACAAATTAATCATAGAAAAGATAACTATGAGATGGCTACATCATTGTTTTTTTCTTAAAATAATTTTTAATTTTAATTTTTAAAAACTATTTCAACATACATAAATTTTGATTTAAGAAATTTAGAATACACCTTGTGAAATTTAGAATGTGTATTCTATACACTTTACATGCTCTAGAAAATTTGAATTATGTATTCTATACACTCTACATGTTTTTACGAAATTTAAAAATTATTTCTATTCTACAATATTTAAAATCTAATTTCTATGAAATTTAGAATACATATTAATAATATACTTTGCTCTTTGTTCAACGAAAAGACCCCACCCAAAGCCACGTTTTGATCCATATCAGCGGATAAACATGGAACCATTTAAGGAAGATTTATAATTCTTTCATCTAGGCACACCTCAAAATCAGATTTGGAAACGTGGAGATCATCTTGAGACTTATCTACACGTCTTAAGGTGTACCACACCTCACTTGATTAGCCGGATCAAGTTCAAGCGAGATCGAATCACAACGGCTCTATTATGATCATTTTGAACGCCTTCTAAAACCACATTCAAGGTAGGGAAAATTGGAAATAAAGGACAAATAATTAAACTATTGTCCATCTATACATTCTATATTCATGATTGGTCATATATACTTTAATATTGGTCATATATGATTTCATATAATTAAAATCCCAATATGCCCCTAGTCTTTTAAATTCTTACTAAACTATTAAAAAAATTTAAAATTAAATTGATTTCTTTCTAAAAACAATTTGGAAAAAATATAGGACAAAATCAACATTTATTTACATTCCATTATTTGTTTTGCCGTAGATAATTTCATATCCTCTTCTTCTTTGATTCTCTTGCTCATCAAAGTTAAGCTTTCGTAATTGTTCTCTCCTCTCTAATAACGCCATATTAAATAATTTTTTTTCCTTCTTCTTCTTCAATCTCTCTCTCTATCTCTCTCTCTTGATTTCAATTTCTTTATGGAGCGCAACTATAATTTTCCGGGTTTTGAAACAAGAAATTAAGCGTAATCTATAGGAAAAAGTGTTAAGTATAAAGAAAAATTCTAATTTGTGTTATAATTTATTCACTTAGGTATAAAGAATTTTAAAGTATTCAAAATTCAACTAATTTTCCGGGTTTTGATTCACTTAGGTATGAAGAATTTTAAAGTATTCAAAATTCAACTAATTTTCCGGGTTTTGAGACAAGAAATTAAGCGTAATCTATAGGAAAAAGTGTGAAGTATAAAGAAAAATTCTAATTTGTGTTATAATCTATTCACTTAGGTATAAAGAATTTTAAAGTATTCAGAATTTAACTTCTGTAATTTGCAGATGTAATCAAATTCACTATATTCAATTTCCATATTTTAAGATTTTTTTTTTCAATCTAAATTAGATAGAATGTACTTTCTAATTTTTGTAGAATAAAAAAAATCTTAAGAATATGTTTTCTAACATTCTTAGAACATAAGTAAATGTTAGAAAACATATTCTAATTTTTGTAGAACAAAGAACAAAGTATAGAATATGTATTCTAAAAGTCGTAGAAACTAGTATTCTAAATACCGTAGAACAGAAATGACTTCTAAATTTTGTAGAACATGTAGAGTGTGTAGAATACATAATCTAAATTTTGTAGAACATGTAGAGTGTATAGAATATACATTCTAATTTCAGAAGACATATTCTAAACTTTATAGATCAAATTATATCCATCTAAAACGAAAACAAAATAATATATTTTTGACATTTTATATATCTTCATGTCTTCTTTATCATTTTAATACATATTTTTCTTAATTACTTTTGAAACAATTGGTTCAATCTTATGCAAGGGGTAGTTTAGGAATAGTTGATATTTGTTCATAGAATTCATATATGGACAAATACTTAAATATTTATCCTTTATTTCCAATTTTCCCTTCAATGTATCTGGTCATTCCAAAGACGCTCCACTTCCTCCCAAAGCTATTAAAATACAAGGAGCGTTAAGACTTTCCTTATATCAGCCAAATTCATCATTTAATTGGCCAACGGCTCTTTTTATTTAATGGTGATTTCTTACTTCTTTAGAACATATAACCGTTTGTATAAGCCTCTATATAATCTCACCTTAGCTTTCATTTGTATTCAAGTTATGTAATAAAAAGTGTGTGTTTTCTTTCAAAAATATTTAATCTTTGAAGTCTTATTAGTTCAAGTCTATTGGTGTGATTTCGTATATAGTCTGGTTTGATTGCGTTTTAGATTTTTGAAATTCAATCATTCTGGTTTGTATGTTGTGGATTCAACGACAAAACTTCATCATTCATCTCTACCATCGTTCCATCATACCATCCAAGCTATAGGCCTTCAAACGGAGAAGCGTAAATCGTAGGTGCATTCTGAGGTTTGTATCACTAACTATAATCATAATAAAAATAAAATGATTATTTAATCGAAAAAATACATTTTTGACATTTATCTTAATTTTTTGAATCACCTCAACGTTAACCAATTCATTGCACATTTATCCCAGAATGTCACTCATTATTTGTTCCAACAGTATTAGCACTTTCAATTCCTTGAATTATTTTATTCAACTTAACACAGTATTATCAAATAAATAACATTTGTCTAGTTGTAAATAAAAATCATTATTTTATACATTTTATATATGTGCCATAGTTTATAAAACCTTTCAACTAAAAATCTATATTATATTATGTGATTCGAAGATATAATAATAAAATACTTTGAGAAACCTTTAACACATATCATTTTCAATCTAAGAGTATTGAGAAAGAGATAGAAAGGGGGAGAACTCACAAGATAAGATTTCCTCTTCGATTAATCATTTTTATTTATAGAAGATAAATAGACAAAAAAAAATATTATGCCTATATATAATAGAACCAAACATCACTACTTATTTTTTTTAGGTAAGACCAACGTTAAAATTGTTAATTAGGGCCAACGTCTGAAGCCCAGTCCAACCCGGCCATGAAAACACCGGATTTGGCTTTAGATATTTAAGTCCAAAAAATTGGACTTCTAAGGTACAAAGTTATTTAGGCTGACCCAACCGAGTTCAGATAGCTGAAATACTCAAAAATATCTAATTAATATCATATATACCAGACCTTTTGACTAAAAATCTATATCATATTGGATATTTTCGAGGTTTTAGCCAGTCCAAACCCGATTAGGTTCAGCGAAAAAGACTATATACTTTAAAAAGCCCAATTTTTTGGACTTAGTTATATATATCTAAAATCGAATACGATGTTTCTCATGATCGGGTTGGACTGGACAATGGACTTTGACCCTAATGGAAACTAACATTGGCCTTATCTACAACAAATTAAGTAGTGATGTTTGGTTATTATATATAGAGGTATCAATGGTGAGATAACATTTTTACTTTTGTCTTCTTTTTTCTTCTTCTTGAAATCGAAAAATGACCGATCGGAAAGGAAAGCTTATCTTGTGAGTTATCCCCTCTCTATCTCTACCCATCAATACTTTTAGATTGAAAATGATATATCAAAGGTTTCTCACTATTATATTAGATTATAGTCTTTGAGCCACATAATATGTACATGATTTGACGAATTTAGGGAAATATGTACAATAATGTCTTATCTTGTATTAAAAGATAACATTTGTGCGTCTGCTTAAAAGATAACTTGAATCCAAAGAATTGATAAGAATAGTCAAGTCGTCATGTTTCGGAAAAAATCTTGAGTAATCCACTCTGTTGCTCCAAGGTAGCAAATGCTTATACGGATGATAAATCTTGTAAAAGGTCTTAATGCTATTACCGCACAAGTACCTGATGTAGGGCCCAAGGAGAAAGCAACTGCCTGAAAGAACAACTCACACTTTGGCAAGTTTATAAGCTCTCGAGTATAAGGGTTGAAGAAGAACATGTCTACTAAACTAGATCTTCGCATCAGCAACCATCCGTCTTTCGAGTAACAAACATCGGTTCCAGCTAACTCAGGTAAATTCAGTGTGTACTTCTTCCGTTCCAATGGATCAAATAGGATAGTCAAGTCGTCATGTTTCAGAAAGGTGATAACCCATTGATGCTTTTCCACAACCCGAATAGATTCAGCCGCTTTACACCAGGCCTTGCAGACAGCCGACGCACGAATGTTAAGACGAGATAAGACATTATTATTTCCAACATGCTTGAGGTAAGGTCAACAAAAGTCAGAACCTTCTTCTCCAGCCCATTGTTACTGACATCTTCATTTGACCTACATCAAGATGGGCTAAAGAACAAGGTTATGACTTTGCTGAACTTACATCAAGCCTTTTGGAAATAATAATGTATTTTCTTGTCTTAAGAGATAACATTCGTGCGTCGGCTATCTACAAGGCATGTCGTAAAGCCGTTTAATCTGTTCGGATTGTGGAAAAGCCTCCATGGGTTATCACCTTTCCCAAACATGAAAACTTTACTATCCTCTTTGATCCATTGGAACGGAAGAGGTACGAACTGAATGTACCCAAGTTAGCTGGAACTGATGTTTGTTACTCGAAAAAGATGGATGGTTTCTTATGCGAAGATCGAATTTTGTGGACATGTTATTCTTCAACTTACCAAAGTGTAAGTTGTCCTTCCAGACGATTGCTTTCTCTTCATCCCCAACATCGGGTATTTGTGCTGTAATAGCGTTAAGACCTTTGATGAGATATAGCGTCCGTAGTAGCATTTGCTATCTTGGAGCAATTGAGTGGATTACTCAAGATTTTCCTTGCTCTCATGGATTTGATCCATACATGCATAGCAACCTTTTCTATGCCAATGATCACTTCTATTGCTTCAGCTCGGGTGGTATTTTAGTCGTCCCGCACAATGAGTCATCAAGCATGGAATAAACATAGATGCCCTTATATGCATAATGATGAATGGTTTAATCTGCCCAAGAAAATTTACTTGGCTGAGCATAAAGGAGAGCTCTTTCTCATGTATCTTTCTCATGTATACATGTAGCAGCGAGATACGGATTGTGTATGAACTTGTCTCCCCGAATTGGGAGGAGATGAATAGTACTACTCTTGACGGTATGGCAATCTTTGCAAGACGAAATAGTACTCGTCAAAGACGAGATTGGATGTTCTTGGTATGAAGAACAGTGTGTACTTCCCAAAGTATGGTTTACATGGCAAAGGATGTGTATCCTACTCGTTTGATGAAGGTAGGTACTATCCGCGTAAGCAGCTTCCAAAACCAACAATATGCCAAAAGCAGAAAGAACTATGCCCTCTTAGGAGTCTTTGGATCGAGCCACCTTTTAAGGACATCTTAGACTTGATGAAATGATAAGCAAATGAGTGATGGTAAAGGTAAGTACTTGAGCTAGCTTTGAGTTTTTGTTTTTTTATTTGATATATGTATTTGATCATCTAGCTTGTGTGAAACTTATGGCGACATTAAGATTCAGTAATGTTATGACAACGTACTTCTAAGCTTTATGTTTTAACTTTCAAAGTTTTTGTATGTGACTGATTTGAGTTATGCAAAAAGATTTGTAGTTTTATTGTTTAACTTCCATAGTCTTTTGCATCTGACTGAATTTTCATATCATTCAAATAGTAATTCTAGCCAAAAACTTTAACATTGTGATATTCCATTTTTTTTTGTAATACGAATGCTAATTTTATTAATCAAATAAGGTAATCTCAGAGCATGATTATCCATAGTGTCTTAGAAATAAATCTTAAGAATATTTAAGTAATATATTTGTAAAATATGGATCTTAACTATGTTTTTGTTGTTTAGCTAAGAAACTCTCTTAGCAATAATGGCTTAATTGAGATTTAATTTTAATCATTTATTGCTAAGATCCAGCTTAAGATTTTCTTAAGAACCTGCCATTAATCATGGTCTTATGATCCATGAGCAGACCAAGGGACTACAGAAGATATTAATTTTATTAAAATGTTTTTATTTATTTTAAACCTATTTTTTTCATTCACACTTTATCATTTTTAGAATCCTAGAAAACTCTCTCGTAAATTTTCTCACCATTTTATATTCCTTTTGTTTTAGTACTTTGTTATTTTGTAACGCCATTAATATATGTGAAACTAAAAAATACCCAAATTAAGTTGAAAACAATAAATTTCTCTTATTTAATAGTATGTACCCTTGTTCTAAAATTCGGCCGCCTAGGCGCTGATCGGAGGGGAACCGCGGCGATTTTGTCCAAATCGGTAAACAAATCACTGGTCCGATTTTTTGTCCGCCTAGACTATCTAGACGACACCTAGCCCATTTTTTTTTTACTTTTTTTTATCTAACATTCAAAACATGCTACTTAAATTCGTAATTTGTATAAAAATCATAAATTTGAGATTAAAATCTTGTTTTCATGTGTTTAATGTAATTTTAAAAACAATATTATATAAATTTCTTAATTATAATGGATTAATATGTTTTTAAAACATTAAATAACCCTAAAACTAATCCTTGTGTAATCTCCGATTTTTTGCTAGGAGCTAGGCACACCCTCACTGCCCGACTAGCGCCTAGCGATTTTTTGAACACGGGTATGTACTCGTCGTATTCGATTAACTCTCTAATCTTTTGGAGAAGATGAAGAAGGAGTCAACGTCAAAAGAACATGTTGTGTTTTGGGTTAAGAGATGGAGTGGGCCTAAGTGGTTAAGGTGTGGCCCAACATAAGAAAGGTGTTGTCTAATGGGTCCAACTAAAACCCAATTGTAGGAGTAATTGAGTTGTCCAAGTATAACTGTTAAGTGTTAAGAGAGTTGTTAAGAGTAGCGCTGTAAACGGAGCGGATATCCGGTTTTTTTAGGATATCCGTATCCGTATCCGTATCTGTATTATCCGCTAATTTGGTATCTGTATCCGGATCAGGAATTCCGGATATCCGGTATCCGGATATTTGTTAAAAATCCGGATATCCGCGGATATCCGCGAATATCCGGAAATAGTGTTTTTTTTTTTTTTTGGTAAACCGGAAATAGTATTTTAAAATCCTAAATTCATTAATATCATACATAAAAAGCTTTAAAAAATCACAAAATAGCTAGAAGTTGATTATATATACAAAACATTACAAAAACAAAGAATTTATTAAAGTAGCAAAAAGTTTAAAAGATTCAAGTGATGTTCTTAAAAAAAAAAGACATTAATCAACTTCTTAAATCCTTTTTAAAAATTTATTTTTATTTTTTGTCATATGATTTATTTATTAACATTAAAAATAAAATAAAAACAATTAAAAAAGTTGGCTTACAAGTTTTTTTTGGGCTTTAACACTTGATAATGGACTATTAAAAGGCTTTTAAGTTTTTCTTTTTTTTTTTTTTTTTTTTTTTTTTTTTTTGCCGGATATCCGTTATCCGTTTCTAATTTTAAGAGAATCCGTATCCGTTTTCAAAATATCCGTTATTTCCTATCCGTATCCGTATCCGTTTTTCCGGATCAAAAACCAGATACGGATACGGATATTCGCGGATAGCGGATATTAATCTCATGCCTAGTTAAGAGTGGTTGATGAGTAGCTGCAGTCTAAAATAAGGTACTTAAGGTTGCTTGTACACTAGAGCCTAGTAGCATGGCCTAGTAGAAGTTGTTATTATGTTTAGAGTCTAAGTAATCATGTTGTAGTAAGTAAGAAACCTAGTATAAGTATGAGTATGTAATTTTGTTGAAAGAAGTAAAGGAGAATGAGAATGATTTAAAGAAATCAAAAGTTCAAAGAGAGAAAAACAAACAGTTTTGTGATGGAATATGTTCATGATTCATTAGTATGATATATAGGTATGGTGTTTGTGACTTGTGGAGAAGAAAATTCAGTTGGGTTTGAGCTAGCTTTGAGTTTTCGTTTTTTATTTGGTATATGTATTTGATCATATATAGCATGTATGAAACTTGCGACTTTAAGATTCAGTAATGTTATGAAAACTTACTTTTAAGCTTTATGTTTTAACTTTCAAAGTTTCTGTATGTGACTGATTTGAGGTTATGCAAAAAGATTTAGTAACTTCCATAGCTTTTTCCATGTGATTTAATTTTCATATCAATCAAAGAGTAAGTATAGTCAAAAACTTTAACATGGAGATATACCATTTTTTTAAATACTATAATTATATTAATCAAATAAGGTAATATTATGATCCATGAACACACCAAGGGACTGTATAAAAAAATTATTTTATAAAAATGTTTTTAATTTTAAACCTATTTTTTTTTTCATTCACACTTTATCAATCTTAGAAAGTAGAATCCTAGAAATTTTAAACTCTCTAGTAAAATTTTTCACCATTTATATACATCTTTTTCTGTTACCTTGTTGTTTTATAAAGTCATTAATATACGTGAAAACTACCCAAAGTTAACTTTAGAATAATAATCATTTAATACTCTTTGGAAATCGAGGGCTTATTCGATTAACTCTTACTCCCTTTGTTTCAAAATTTAAGAGGTTTAAGGTTAAATGCATACATATTTAGGTCCTTTATTTTCTTTTTAAAACATCATTTATATTTAGTTAAAAAAAAATTCAACGAATCATAATAATGACTGCAAAATATAAATAGTCATAAGTGGTCAAATGCATTTAAATTAACATTGAAACTTGTAAAAAATCTTATAATATGAAACAAAATAAAATCCCTAAAACATCTAATATAATGAAACAGAGGGAGTATATTTTTTGGAAAAATTTCATATTAGCCCTATTTTTTTTTTTTATGATAATCACAAAAATGCTATAAGAATTAATTTTCATAAAAAAAAATTAAGACCACACAAATAAATAAACAACAAAATTTCTCTCGTTTCACCTTCTCTTTTTCTTTGATTCTACAAAACCCTAGCCGTCATCGACAAGTTTGTACTATCATGTTCCTCCTTCGATAAAGCATCAATTATATGAACTACTTATTAGGGAGAGAGGTCGCAGCGGCTATAGAAACGAAAGACGAGGGCTACAGATGTTCTAAACCCTAGATCTGCTCAAGATTTATTAGTATAATATACAACTTAATATATAAAGGAAAAAGGAAACACAATTTGGACTTCAATAATAAAACAGATTTTTATTTTACAGATCAAGTTTCCTTTTTTTATTCCTTTTCTCTTTAGGTTTATGTTTACGATTTCTTATATATAGAGATGTCTTAGAAGAGGCATCCAAAAGAAGAGAGCTTGTTCTCGTTGAAGTTTTACTTTGTTAGGGTTTTCTTTCTACGTTTGATTCTTGGTTTGT